ATATTTCTGTTGAATTTTTTCTACCCATTTTCTTGTCAAGGACAGGGTCACGGGGGGGGGGGGGGGGGGGAGGCTCATGTGCGGGGAGAACATCCATGTGTCTACTATGTTCCATCACCAAGGTCTCCAAAAGTCCATCTTTCTCGGGTCTCAGTTCCATCTCATTCGCATCACACATTTGGTCATCCGTCTCGTCATATTTTTGATATGTTAATTCATCAAAATAAACATGTTATCCCATGTAACATTTCGTTAAGTGAGTCTCATTGTTTGTCATGTCATATTAATAAAAGTACTCGACTTCCATTTTCCATTAATACTATGAACACAACTTCTCCTCTTGAATTAATATATAACGATGTATGGAGCACATCCACTCCCTCTTTTGATGGTTTTAAGTTTTACGTGAGTTTTGTTGATTTTTTCACCAGGCACACTCGGCTATATCCTATAAAAAATAAAAGTGATGTGTTGATTGTGTTCCCTCAGTTTCATCGTATGGTTAAAAAATATTCTAACCATCAAATTAAATCCCTCTTTTCCGATAATGGGAGCGAGTACATTAAGTTACGGTCATACCTAAATCATCATGACATATCTCATTTTACCACACACCCACACACGCCTGAACACGATGGTATCGCTGAACCTAGGCATAGGCAAGACTTACTCTACTCCATTATTCCGGTCTGCCTCAGTCATACTGGCCCTATGCCTTCCAAACAACAATATATCTTATAAGCCGTCTTCCTAACGCCGCCATTAATTGTTCTACACCATTTTTCAATTATACAAACGGTCACCCTAATTACCAAAAATTACAACCTTTTGGGTGTGTGTGCTATCAATGGTTTCGTCCATATTCTTCATCCAAAATGCATGCCCGCTCCATGCCGTGTGTTTTTCTTGGCTACTAACTATCTCAATCGGTATATTTTTGCCTTGATCCCAGTACAAATCGAGTATATACGACTCGTCGTGTACGTTTTATTCCTAATATTAGTCCATTTCATTCTTCCTGGTCTACGTCCACTTCGCATGCATGCATGAATTTACCGCCCGGTGACCCGCACTCCTTAACCAATTCATTCCTATCCCCAACAAACTCACCTAGTCACACTCCAACTCTCATTTATCCCCTCATAAGCCCACCTCTCACCGAATTGTCCTTGTCTCATAACACCACACCTAACTCACCCATTTTTCTCAATTCCCAACTATCTACCACGTGCCCATCTAACTCACACCCCACTGTTTCCCAACAATATGGAGTCAATATTCCCCACTCCATTAATATTTCAGACCCCATGCAAACCTTACCCACTCCACCACATACCAATCCCAATAATACCCATACCACCCACTCGACCCCACCTCCATCCGATAGTGCCCAGCACCCCACAATTCCCCCCACCTGACCTACTCGTTTACGAGTTCCCAACCCCAAATACATTGGAGGTCCCTTCATTAACCTCACCACAGACCATCCCATTACACCAACCCTTGAACCAACTTGTGTAAAATAGACGTTATTTGATCTGAGGTGGGTCTCTGCCATGCAAGATGAAATGGAAGCACTACGGTACAATCATACGTGGAGTCAGGTCCCTCCCACTGGCCAGTCCCCTATCACATGCAAATGGGTCTCTCAGATAAAGAGAAATCCCGATGGTACCATCTCTCGGTTTAAAGCCTGACTTGTGGCTCGTGGGTTTTTACAACAACCCGGTCGTGACTACTCAAAAACATTTAGTCCCATTACCAAACCTGCCACCATCCGCATTATACTATCTATTGCATTGGCTCGAAACTGGTCTCTTCGCCAACTAGGTGTCAATAATGCATTTCTGCATGTGGCACTCACAAAAGAAGTGTATATGGTTCAAGCACCCGGTTTTCGGGATCCACATCTTCCTACACATATTTGCAAACTTCATAAAGCACTGTATGGGCTTAAACAGGCCCCTCGGGCTTGGTATATGGAATTGTGCCGATTTCTTCTTTCTGTGGGCTTTCGCAAATCAAGGACTAATGCATCATTATTTATTTATTCTTCTCAGGGCATACTAATATATTTCCTTGTCTATGTTGATGACATTGTTCTCACATGAAATAATTCAAGGGCACTTGAATCTTTTGTCCGTCAGTTCACGCAACGGTTCTCGGTTAAAGATCTGGGCACACTCCATCACTTCCTTGGAATTGAAGTGGTTCCAATTCCAACTGGAATATTTTTGACCCAACGTCAATATATTCTTCATATTTTGGAATCATGCAAAATGCATGGTGCCAAGGAGGTAGTCACCCCGATGTGCACCAAAAATTCGCTCTCACTCACGGATGGCACACCTCCTGCAGACGTAACTCGATATCGGCGGGCCATTGGCCTTCTACAATATTTTTCCTTTACCCGGCCTGATATTTTATTTGTCGTCAACCGGCTATCCCAATTCATGCATGCCCCAACCGAGACCCATTTGCAAGGTGTGAAAAGAATATTATGGTATCTCAAATGTACACCGGACCATGGACTATTTCTTAATCGGTCTCCCCCCTTAACCCTCTTGGTCTTCTCAGATTTCGATTGGGGTGGGGTTATTGACGGGGGACGTTCCACTACATCGTATGTTCTTTATTTGGGAGGCAACATTATTTATTGGAAGTCGGAAAAACAAAAAATTGTCTCAAGGTCCTCTACTGAAGCTGAGTATAAGGCTGTTGCAGATGCTATTTGCGGAAATGTTATGGGTACGCAATCTGCTCACTGAATTGGGAATTTCATTAGTATCCACGCCGCAACTTTTTTGTGATAACCAAGGAGCCACTTACGTCTGTGTTAATCCAGTGTTTCACTCTCGGATGAAACATCTTGCCTTAGACTTCTTCTTTGTACGTGAGCTAGTTGAGCGTGGTCAATTGGTGGTCAAACATATATCTACAAAACATCCAATTGCTGACATGCTTACCAAACCTCTCAACAAGGGGTTATTCCTTTTTTCCAATCCAAGATAGGAGTATCCAACGGATCCTCTATCTTGCGGGGGAGTATTGAAGCATAATATTAGCACAATATTATCATGTACATATTATATTAGCACAATTTTATCATACTCCCTCCGTCCCTTAAAACCTTACCAAGTTTGACCGGCACGAGGATTAATAAAGTAAAAAACTAAAAACTATGTGGTTGAGGTTTGTGCAGAGGAGAGAGAATTAATTGGAACCACAAATTCTTTACTTAAAAGGGAAAGTGACAAAGTTAGTGGGACACCCCAAAAAGGAAAGTTTGCAAAGTTACAAGGGACGGAGGGAGTATGTCACTTGTATTTATCTCATATGTAGGGTTAGCTTTATCCTTTACTTTGTGCTAGTTAGTTAGTATATCTTATCATCTCAAGTGTAAAGCTTATATATTGATGTATGTACACTGAGCCTAATACAATAATTTCATTCATCTCATATTACTTCTTCACTACCTTCCTCCATGTCTTCTGGCCAAAGAAATGCAAGTCGTAATCTAATGTACCTCGGCACACACTCACGATTCTTTTATCGCAAGCCAGGTCTTCACTTGCCGCACCGAGCCCCAGTTGCAAATGAATACCTCGCGTGTACTTGAACCATTTTAACGGATCGCTAGAATCAATGTTCTAAAAGGCGCTAGGCGCTAGTCGGACACCAGCCCAGCGCCTAGCCTAGGCGGCTAGGTGGGCGTCTAGTCGGGGACTAGTCGGAGACATTAAAATTGCATTTTTATCTATATTTTTGCATTAATATGATAAGTAATATTGTATTTTTGTGTGAATAAAATACATACATACATATTTACGTACGTACGTACGTACCTACATACGTACGTACCTACATACCTACGTACCTACATACCTACGTACCTACATACATACATACGTACATACATACATACGTACATACATACATACGTACATACATACATACATACATACATACATACATACATACATACATACATACATACGTACATACATACGTACGTACATACCTACGTACGTACATACATACCTACATACGTACATACATACGTACGTACATACATACCTACATACGTACATACATACGTACATACATACGTACATACGTACATACATACATACCTACATACATACATACATACATACATACATACATACATACATACATACATACATACATACATACATACATACATACATACACACACACATACATACACACACACACATACATACACACACACATACATACATACAGACATACATACATACATACATACATACATACATACATACATACATACATACATACATACATACATACATACATACATACATACATACACACACACACACACATATATACATTAACAAACATGAATGATAGAATTATCACATTTAATCATATGTAGTATATGATAACTAATCATTAATTATTTCATTATGTTATAAGTATAAATAATGATAAAATTTTGGTATATATACAAACATATATAGTTTTATCTTAATTTACAACTCCATTTCTTTATATCCATGGCTAAAGTTAAAGTTCGTATATCTCTTAGAAAATTAAAATCAAAAAGTAAATTAATGTTCTGCGAATTTAGACGACCTAGGCGGCCGATTAAGCGTTCTAGGCGGACAACTAGGCGCCATAGACAACCGACTTAATTACCTAGGCGGCAAACCAATTAGTCGGAACGCCTAGACGAAAAGTGTGGCGCCCGGCTACCGCCTAGCACCTAGACGGGGACTAGTCGAGTATCTAGAACGATTTTTAGAACAGAGGCTAGAACACGTGTCACACACCATTCCAAGTAGGGTTTTGCTGCAGACGCTACACAGGACCGGCCCAGGGCAAGTCTTCGTAGTCCAACCGCACCGAATTTTTGAAAAGCCCCCCACCCCCAAAAAAAAATTAGTATTAAAACCCAGCCCAAAACCATCCGCCCAACTTCATCTTTCAATTAGTAACCTGCGCCCAAAATCCCCAAATCACCGGTCGCCAAACTCTCCGACTCCATTCTCGCCAAGACGCCAACCTGCGTCTAAAATCCCCAAGGCCCCAACCATAAAGGCACAAACCACCAGTCCCACCAGCGCACTTGAGGTCTTGAGGAGTTCTCACGAAAAAATTGGACGCTGGCACCGTGGCACGCTGCTCTGGACTGAAGCCGTGAACTCGTGAAGGATGGAAGGAGGACGAAGAAGGACTGAGCGCTGACCTCCTCCACCAAGCGCCAGCTCCAGCCGCCAGGCCGCCACTGCCCCACCGCAACCCGCCTCCCTGAGTCTGGTCAGTCCACTGATTTGCAGTTTTTTGTATTCATTTAGTTTCTAATTCTTGTGAATTTTTGAATTATTGAATTGTTGAATTGTTTTTGAATTGTTGAATTATTGTAATTTGTTTATTTTCAGATTTTCTGATTTCATGTTTGTTGAATAACTTGAATTGTTGCATTGTTATTATTTGTTGATTTTTTGCAGTTAAAGTAAATCATTATTTGAATTGATAATAAATGTGTAAATGTGTTTAGCAATTAAAATTTAAGAAATTGGTATAAATATATTATTAGGTAACTTCAGGTCGATAAATTATAATTATACTAATATAATCTTTCATGTTTTCACCCTAATTTTAAACTGAATATTAATTTAAAAACAGCCCAAATTTGCTTGTGTTGAAAAAAGACCCAAATTTTATTGTTACACACTATATACACCTACCATACACCCATTTCTTCACCTTTCCCATCACCTTGTCTTATTCTTCCCGAGATCGTCGCAGCCATAACCCTCTTCGCAGCCATGGCCAAAGGTCCTGGTCTTTACTCTGATATCGGCAAGAAGGCCCGTGGTATGTACATGATGTGTTGTCCGTTTTGATTTTGTTCCCGTTTTCACATCATGTCCCGCTTCTGAGCTAATCTATTTGTGCCGGTTGTCGTTGTTGTTGTTGGAATCAGATCTTCTGAACAGGGATTTCCAGACGGACCAAAAGTTCACCATCACTACCTACTCTCCTACGGGTGTTGTGAGTTTTCTACTTTGCTCTACCTGGATCTGTGTTAGGGTTTCCTTGTCTGTAGGAATGGACAGTTCTGTATTTTTTTTTTGAAATCCAATGAACCTGCTTTTTGTGCTTCAATTTGTGGATTTGTGTTTTTGCAAGTTAGATTCACATGATTATAGAAGTATTGTGGAATGCCATTGGTTTTTGATTTTTTGAATAACTTACTTATGACTATGATGTACTTGCTATCCCCCCTTCCTTAAAATGAGACACGAGAACCAGAGGGGTAAGGTATCTCTAAACTAAGATTTGGTGGACACATACCAAGATTTGAGTTAGATAAATTAGAACAACACACATACCAAGTGTCCACAGATTTGGTGGAACGCATGAAAAGGGTAGGTATGATACGGATGAAGGGAGGAGTTGTTATTGACATTTTCTTTGTTTTTGTTGCAACTGTTAAGTAATTTAGAAATTAGAATCCTCTTCTTGTCATCGCTGCATCTCTGTTTATTAACTGCAGATGCATTTTAGTATTTCACAGTATGCGCTATTACTCGTGATTTGGATTAACTAAGACTGAATTTTTTCTGTACATAATTCGTTTTTCTTCGATGTAGTGAATTAATGACTGCTTCTTGTCTTCAGTAAGACTTGTGTATAATTTGTTTGTCTTCAATATAATGACTGATTTTCCTTACCAAGACTTGTATTCTCAATTTTATTTTATGGTATCTTATTAGACTCTTCACAATTTTTTCTCTTTTCTATGTAGGCCATTACTTCATCTGGGTCAAAGAAAGGAGATCTATTTTTGGGTGATGTCACCACCCAGTTGAAGAACAAGAACATTACCACTGAATTCAAAGTGGACACCAAGTCCAATGTAAGCTCTCATACTTAATTTTCCATTTTTTATCATTTATATTGAGCACTTGTCATCAGAGTTTTACTTTTGATACTTTCTGTACAAATTTCCATCAACCCAAACCAGCTTGGTTATCCCATCACTGATGAGCTGCCTTTATTTTTGGGGGTGTTACTACATCGTTAATTTTAATCAGATTTCTTTCTTAGTGAATCAGCATACATCCACTAGTGTTGTGGTATCTATATTTTTTAATGCGGTGACAAGAAGAATGTTTTTCATGTTTGGTGATTTGGCCTTGTAACTTTAGAAAATCCTAAAGGGAAATTAAGTATGATTGTTCATTTATGCAATTATTCCTTACTTTCTTAGTCTAGGCTTAAATACATTTTTAGTCCTCTCAACTATGAAACATTTTTGTTTGAAATCTCTAACTATACACTATTTTCTTTTTAGTCACCAATACAACTTAAAGAGTACTCCAATTAGAAAAAAATTAATGTCCACTCTATGAATTGATTAGAGACTTTTAAAGTCATCCTTTTATTAAAAATAATGTAAACTATTCATTCATCTATATAAAAAGGATGGGAGGAAACGTATGAGTCAGGGTTGTTTCAAAGACAAAATAATTCTGCAGGGACTCTAAACAGGAAGCGCTATATTTGAAGGGCTTAAAACGCATTTAAGCTTATTATATATTAACTCTTTTAAAATGAATGTCAACGAATATGTAAAATTGAATTATTGCATCTGAAAAGGATTCATTGAGTTTGAACTCGTTTTTTTTCCTTTAATTTTAATCCTTTCCACTCTCATAGCCCCACTTTCACTGATTCCTGAAGCATCTAATAATCTTTTCCATCTGAATCCAGCTTTTTACAACTATCACTGTTGTTGAAGCAGCTCCTGGATTGAAAAGCATTGTGAACTTCAGACTCCCTGATCAAAGATCTGGTAAGGTAATTTTTCATTTTGTTTTCTAACAGCGTAGAGCTCTATTCGCTGATCTCCTTTGTGTAGAGGTTGAACTTCATTGTTTATATGACCACGACACCATAAGCATTTGATGAAAACTATTAGATGAACAAAGTATTATTAGTTTCTCTCCTTTGTGTTACAGGTTGAACTTCAATATTTACATGACCTTGCTGGCATAAGCACTAGTGTTGGTTTAACAGCAAGCCCAGTAGTAAACTTTTTTGAAAATATGTTGGGTATGAAGTTGTCATTCCAAATTCCAAGGTAAGTTTAACTTCATTAAATTCAACAATTCGTTCAAATTTCTAAGAAAACAATTTACTCCCATGACCTCTTATGTGATGATTATAAATAAGGGTGAAAATCATTTTTTGTCGCATATTGGACTTTGATTAAAAAACAATGTTTATGGTTACGTACTGTCAGCCTTATGTTGAAGTATCAAAAGTAACAAGTCGCAAGAATTTGAAAATATTTATTTGTGGTGAAGATTAGAAACAAATAGACAATTACTATCAATATTGTTTACAAGGAAAAAGTGTTTCCAAATGTAGTATTCAGAAATCTTATTGTAATATTTTTTTTCCTTTTATTCCAAAATATAATTTATAGCAATTATAAGTTATAATTCATATATATCTTTTCCTTAATTATAATTATTTATGTGCTGTACATCTGTATTGTTTGCATTCACTTACACATTAACTAATAATGTAAACAAATAATATAATAGAGCCATTACTTAATATATGTCTTGTGCATCACACACGTGAGAATCTAATTGCTTACCAAAGGAGCACAAAGTTGCCAAGTAATTACAACATTGCCAATTTTTAAATGTCAAAAGTAACTAGCGGCTGAGGATCCCACACACTAATTAATCTCTTATATGTGAAGCACTATACGATCCGATGGAGTCTTCATGGATCCCAAAACATTGATCACATGAAACAAAGAGTACATACCAATAATATGTCCTCGCCGATCAAATAATGGCATCCCTTGCGCACCAAATGTACTCTCACCATGCACATTATTCACTTGGACAAGTGAAATTGAACTCCCCAAGCACACCACGGAAATGTAGGGCATCACCACAAAAGACAGAGGAGGCATTGCGATCCGAGAAAACTTTCTCTTTTTTTCTCTTTTTCCAATGATAGCTTCAACTCTTTCAAGGGATTTTTCGATGGTTTTAGGACTTTGCCATAACTTCTACATGGATATGAAATTTGCCCAATTGGAGAAGAATTGAGCAAATACCTCGATGACCAATGGGGTAAATTTCTTCACCAATTCTGAGATCTTCCCGATCAGAAATTCTAGCATAAGGAAACATGAATGCTGTCGAGTTTGATACACCAATTTTTAGAATGACTAAGTCATAAGTGGGATCCAACGCCAACATAGTGCAACCATATCTTTCTTTAGCAGCAGTAACGATTTGAACTCTAGCTTAAACGTCATTCATGAGTATGTGAGACAAGGTCAAGACATGCCTTTCTGGGGAAACGATTACACCTGCACCTTCGCAATCAAATTCATTATGTTCTGATGAATACACACACAACCACAACAACCACTTCCATTTTTTTGTAGAACTCTTCTCTTTGCTCTTGTGACAAATTCCCACAAACTACTTTTGGAAACTTTATGTCTTTTGCCCCTTCTATATCTTCTAGCAAGCTAGAGAGTAGCCATCTGCCAGGATTTAAGACATTAATATTCAATAATCATCTATCATCTATCATTATATAAAATCAAAATGATTTCTCAGTAGTACTCCTATCCAGTTAAGCATGTAACAAATGAAAAAATAAAAAATAAAAAGCAGCTTGGAACAATTCCCATTAAAAATGAAAAATGAAAAATAAAGACTATTCAGTGACGCAAATATCTCATCAAAAGAGGAGTACAATAAGGAATGGACAATACACATGAGATGATTTCTCCATAAAACTGTTAGCAAACTAACTAAAAACAACATTTAGCCCAGTAGCTTACTTACTATTTTAATTGTTCACAAAATGTCAATTCAGAGAGCAAATATTTCCAGCTATATCTCGAATAAATGCTTGAAAATAGAAAACCAGCTGACATTGTATTTCGATCCCTTTGCAAAGTTCACCTCTGCTATACAACTATAAGCTGTCTCTCATTTCTGGCCAGTTCTCACAAATCATAAAAGTACTGCCAAACATGTTGAAAATCAAGATATCCAAGAATACAAATCATTTTCAAGTTTGTAACAAACCTTTATTGTTTAAAACTTGAAAATCATTTGTATTCTTGGATATCATGATTTTCAACATGTTTGACAATACTTTGATGATTTGTGAGAAATGGCCAGAAATGAGAGACGATTTACAGTTGTATAGCAGAGGTGAACTTTGCAAATGAATCGAAATACAATGTCAATTGATTTTGTATTTTCAAGCATTTATTCGAGATATAGCTGGAAATATTTGCTCTCTAAATTGACATGTAATGGACAATTAAAATGGTAAGTAGGTTACTGGACTGAATGTTGTTTATAGTTAGTTTGCGAATAGTTTCATGTAGAAATCATCTCATGGTGTAATGTCCATTACTAGTTGTACTTCTCTTTTGGCGAGATATCTGCATCACTGAACAATCTTTTTATTTTTCAGTTTTAATGGGAATTGTTCCATGCTGCTTAGGTCTATGTTCTTGTTGCGTGCTTAACTGGGCAGAAGTACTACTGAGAAGTCCTTTTGATTTTATATAATGATTATTGAATGCTAATGTCTTGAATCTTGGAAGATAGATACTCTATAGCTTGCTAGAAGATATGGAAGGGCCAAAAGAGGTAAAGTTTCCAAAAGTACATTGTGGGAAGTTGTCACAAGAGCAAAGAAAAGAATTCTACAAAAAAATGGAAGTGGTTGTTGTGGCAATGAATGTGTATTCATCAGAACATAATGAATTTGATTGTGAAGATGCAAGTGTAATCATTTCTTGAGAAGGGTATGTCATGCTCATAAATGACGTTCAAGATAGAGTGCAAATCGTTATTGATGCTAAACAAAGATATGGTTGCACTATTTTGGCGTTGGATCCCACTTATGGCTTAGCCATTCTGAAAATTGGCGTATCAAACTCGACATCATTCATGTCTTCTTATGCTAGAATTTCTGATCGGGAAGATCTCAGATTTGGTGAAGAAATTTACCCCGTGGCCATTCAGGGTATTTATTCAATTCTTTTTCAATTGGGCAAATTTCAATCCATGTAAAAGCTATGACAAAGTACTAAAACCATTGAAAAATCCTTTGAAAAAGTTAACTATCATTGCCTCATTGGAAAAAGAAGGGAAGGTATTCTCGTGATCGCAGTGCCTCCTCTGTTTGTTGTGGTGATGCCTTACATTTCCGTGATGTGCTTATACATTTCCATGATGTGCTTAAGAGTTCAATTGTCAAGTGAATAACGTGCATGGTGATCGTCTATTTGTTTCTAATCTTCACCGCAAATAAATATTTTCAATTTCTTGTGGCTTGTTACTTTTGATACTTCAACATAAGGCTGATCGTACGTAATCATAATCACTTTTTTTTTATCTTCGTCCAATGTGCGACAAAAAATGATTTTCACTCTTAGAAATTTGAATGAATTGTTGAATCTAATGAAGTTAAACTTACCGTGGAATTTAGAATGACAACTTCATATCCTTCATCGTTGGCATGGCGTTGCAGATGCTTCATCAACTTCCTATCATAACCTTTTAGTATTTCTTGTCGGGAAGTTGAACAAAACAGTATTTCTCCAAATGTGAGTCACTACGGGGCGATAAGAGATCCCCCCAATTATATCTTTTCCCCTCATGATAACCATACTTTTGTACTCTTCACTCACGATAATGTTCTCAATGTAGGACGTAGGAATATTAGACAGTTGCTCTTCAAAAACGCTCTGTAGCCCACGTCGCCTGATCGAAGAATATACAAACACGCATATACATACAGATTACAGAGTATACAAACATGCACAACTAGTTGCTAGCATCTTTTATACATCCAGAATTGAACGAATTGAATAATAACTATACCAATCCAAATGCGAAACCAAATCCTGTAGTGACAAACAAGCCACCTTAAGACTCTCTTCACCTGCAGCGCTCCCTTCATGCATATATGCACACATACGGTTTAATGGTTTTTCAACTTTTATTAACCAGAAATATATCGAGATATTACGTATAGGCCATCCGGACGATCGATGACTCGAATAAGTTCTTATTGCAATGTGCGTTCAAGTGTCCAACTACTGAATACGGAGTAGAATATAAATTAAATCATAGACGACGACTATTACATACCCCATGATCATTAATCAACATCTCTTCTAGCTGGGAGGGAACCCCATCTGTGCCCATTGCCGCCGAATGCATATCGGTGGAGAAATTAATTAGTTAAGAGGTCGCGGGAAGAAGAAGCTACGGATATATTGGTCTGGCCGCCGGAGGCCGTGCGATCGATTGGCTTTCGTCGTCCGTCGCTGTTAGCAACTAACTTCAACTTAGGCTCCAACTTCGAACAGAGTTTTTCTATATATATACACACAATATGTATATACTCTGTAACAAATTCTGTCAAACTGTAATTGAGCACGGCAACCAACTTTTATACGGATCGCAGTACGTATATAATCGTTTCTCAATTATACAGAGTAGTGTAGTACTCCGTGCGCCCTTTGATAACATGAAAATCCATTCGTGAAATGGCTGGCTAAATTTGGTGATTTGTGGATAAACTAAATGGAGTTTTAAAATACTACATACGTTGTAGGCAATATATTTTATTAATATATAGATTTAAGAAAAAAATACATGGAAACACCTAAAATGTTCAATCTACATAACTTTCATCAATTACTCAGCATGTTTTTAATTGGACTAGAATTTTCTGATCCGATCTACTCTGATCTGTTCTGAACTGGTCTGGTCCGATAAATTCATTACGTACAGTCGTATTGGTTGATTCTGCTGAAATTTATGAAGTTCTGGTTGAAGTGGTTGGATTGATTGATTCTATCACCAGAGACCATACGTTTACTAGACCAGACCACTTCAAACCAGATCAGAGTAGATCAAACCAGAAAATTGTAGTCCAATTGAAAACATCCTTAGTGATTTTTATTGGTCAATTTTTTTTATCAAATGTGTAACTATGATTTCACGCAATGAATTGCATGTGTAATGATCAAAATAAATAAATAAGGGTGAAGTCAAATTTTGAGTAATTGATAGAAGTTATGTAGATCGAACAATTTAGGTTTTTCTTTCTTAAATCTATTAATAAAATATACTCCCTACTAAGTATTTACTACCTCTGTCCCAAATTGATTTGCAAAATTCACATTTTTTTCAAACAGTATTTTAAAATACTCGATGTTAGCTTTAACTTTACTTTTTCTTTTTATTACACAACTCAGCGCGCAAAATAAAAAGTTGCGTGTTTCGTGAAAAAGTTGGTTGATAAAGCTCATAAACCCATAAGTCAGTTCACAAAACGGGCTCTTATTATAAATATTTTTGAAACACTAGAATTTTTTTAATATATTTTATGAATATTTTGACTTCGAGTTGTTTTTAATTGGACCAAAATTTTATTTTTTCTGATCTTTTTAGTTAGAACAGAAATGAAATGTTATACTCCTTAACATGTTATAGAAAAAGTAATTGGAGTTTGAAAATGTTTGCCACATGTTATGAAACCATTACCTAGAGGGTCAATTTGGAAAATAACAAAATATAGATTATTAGAGGCGTCAGCGGAAGGAGTGTTCTTTATTTGATACGAAGTAGTAAGTAGCAATTTTAGAGTCTGTTTGGTGACTCAGTTTTTCGACTTATCTGGCTTATCAATCAATTTTTTAACCAAACACGTAACTTTTGATTGCGCATGCTGAATTGTGTAATGATAAGGAAAAAGTAAGATTGTAGTTACTTTTCATATATTGGCTGAAGTTAACTTCTGGTTGTATTGGCTGAAGTTACTGTAGATTACCATTTTAACTATTTTTTCATATATTTATTTTCTTTATTTTAAATATAATTTAAAATATATTTTAAATATATTTTAAACAAGAATCAACAGAATCAGCCAATACAGCCACTTCAGTCAGAACTTCATAAATTTCAGTAGAATCAGCCGATTCAGCCAATTTCAATGTTACTAAACGGGCTCTTAATTTAAAACAAAAAGAGAGCAAAATGGTCTATGCATGGTTACCTTTAGTAAAAGTGGGAGTGCGCAAGGCAATCCCCTAAATGTAAAGAGAGTCTAGACGGCTCATACTTTTAAAATATTTGTATTCGAGAGATTATATGCATCTATTTAGATTTTATTATTTTTAATGATGTTTTTACTTGAACTTATATCAGTTCAATACTTGATCAGACCAGATTAGATCAATCCGGGCAAGACTTCTAAAGTTGTAAAATACACAGAGACCATACATTTATCAGACCAGTTCAGAACAGATCAGAGTAGATCGGACCAGAAAATTCTAGTTCAATTGAAAACATGCGGAGTAATTGATGGAAGTTATGTAGATTGAACATTTTAGGTGTTTCCATGTAGTATTTTTTCTTAAATCTATATATCAATGAAATATACTCCCTACAACGTATGTAGTATTTTAAAACTCCATGTAGTTTATCCATAAATCACCAATTTTAGCTAGCCATTTCAGGAATGGATTTTCATGTTATCAAAGGGCGCACGGAGTACTACACTACTTCGTATAATTGAGAAACGATTATATACATACTGCGATCCGTATAAAAGTTAGTTGCAGTAGTCAGTTACAGTTTGGCAGAATTTGTTACAGAGTATATACATACTGTGTATATATATAGAGAGAGAGAGTAAGGATCAAATGAGAACACTTCTTAACGTGAGAAATGAGAATGATTCTGGAGCTTTGGATTTTGGCATTGTGCATCAAGTAAAACAGAAATGTGCATAAAAAAATTGGAAATTGTGCATTTCAAGTGTGCAAAAGTTTACACGTAAACATGCACATTAGAATTTTGCGTTACTTTAACTATAAATGTGCATTTTCGTGAATGATAAAGTGCATCGTTTTAGAGCGTTCTCATTTCTCACGTTAAGAAGTGTTCTCACCGGAACCGCACGGTCCGCACCCTATATATGTATGTATATGTATATATATATAGAAAAACTTTGTTCAAAGCTGGAGCCTAAGTTGAAGTTAGTTCTTAACAACGACAGACGACGAAAGCCAATTGATCGCACAGCCTCCGGCGGCCAGACCAATATATGTGTAGCTTCTTCTTCCCGCGACCTCTTAACTAATTATAAAAGATGCTAGCAGCTAGTTGTGTCCGTTTGTATATTCTGTAATCTGTATGTATATGCATGTTTGTATATTCTCTGATTAGGCGACGTGGGCTACAGAGCGTTTTTGAAGAGCAGCTGCCTAATATTCTTACGTCCTACATTGAGAACATTCTCGCGAGTGGAGAGTACAAAAGTATGGTTATCATGAGGGGAAATGATATCATTGGGGGGTCTCTTATCGCCCCGTAGTGACTCACAAATTTGGAGAAATACTGTTTTGTGCAATTTCCCGACAAGAAATACTAAAAGGTTATGGTAGCAAGTTGATGAAGCATCGGCAACGCCATGTCAACGATGAAGGATTCGAATATTTGCTGACTTACGCAGATGATAACGCCATTGGCTTTTTTGACAGACTGGTATGTATATGTCAGACCTACCACTGATATCTATTTGCACGGGCAGAATATAGTAGAGTATGTATATGTTCCATAGCTGCCCCTGTTCTTGTCCCTTCTGTTTTCCGTCGCCGGTCGAGCCCTGGAATCGGCAAATTCAATAATACTGCTGTTGATTCTCTGTTTTTATTTAATCTATACGGCGCCGTTTGGTTAAGCATTAAAAAAAATACTACGTAGGAATGACGCTGCATGGCCCATCAGCAGAGTTTGGTTATTAGTTATCATTATTCGTTATCGGACCAAAGGCCCAGATGTTGAAATTGGAAATCTGAAACGATCGGGCGTATATGAGAATAGCCGATTGGGTGATTTGGCCATTTCAACATTTAGGTCTGCCATCTGCGGTCGCCGATTGAGGAAATGGGGTGAGATTTGAGTTTTGAAGTATTGGTATTTTGAGTTGCGATTAAGGAAAGGCTTTTGTGCATTCTACCGGTTTCATTAATTATTTGTTTCAACTTCCTAATTCCTACTCGTATCATTTGTGTTTTGAAGTATTGGTATTTTGAGTTGCGATTAAGGTTGAGTTATAGCGTTCAGGCATTGCGGCTTAGACCATTGAGAATTGCTGAATTGAGATTTAAGACAACCTGTAGTTACCGTAGTAATCCGTTGTTTTTTAATTATTTAGTTTAGCTAGCTATTAATTACGCCAAAACTTTTATCCTTTCAATTATTTACATTTCAGATTTTAAAGTTTGAGAATTTAAAATTTTATAATCTTTAACTAGTTGATTGTGGGCGTTGTATTTGTGTATCGTACGTTATATGAAGCCGAAAATATGCATTATCATAAATTAGAAAATTGCATTTGAGTTGTACTTTATTTTAACCAGAGCCTTTTAATTTATATTGTTTTATCTTATTTTTTGTGTAAATAACTTAAGTAAATAAAAATCTACAAATTTATACTCCATAGTACATTGCATAATGTGAGAGTACTCCGTTGTTTAAAAAAAAATGAGAGTACTCTGTATTATTTATGATTTTGTAATTTTATTAGTGTATTTCTTAGACAGAAGGGAACCCCTAGAATATTTTGCGGGCACAGATGACCAATTAATCTTGTTTAGTACTCTCGTTTACGCAACCTCGGACCAGTATTTCCAATATTGATGAATTTCTTTGTCGCCCCCCTCATATATTCCTCTGGTTCTGCCCCTGTCTATTTGGTACTTTTTCCTTTCGTTAAGGATCGAATTAATTAAGAAGCATGCGTAGAATTTCAACGCCATACCACAATATTGCAATTATTAAATTAATCAAGTTGTTTCAATTCCTAGCCTACATATGTACTGCGAATAATTTCAGTGGCGGAACTAGGAGGGCGAGCCGGTGCCGGCGCCCCCCTCGTTCGCCGGAGTGGGTAAGGTAGGTACATAGGTTTACTAAATCCCGCCCCCGGAGCTTTTCTTGTCAGCTTCGTTGGTTTAATTTGCGCCGCCATGGATGAGCTTGAGAGGCTGAGAGCTTCTTTCGCCGGTGATGCGTGGACTTCAGTTATTTATTTATTTTTACGTGGTAATGAAATTAAAACGACATTGTATTAATAAACACAAAATAGCCCCAATTCACAAACCCACTGATGGGCTGGGTTGCGTAACA